AGCTGATGGGGTTTGTGTCGGCCAATATTTGGGTTTATCTTTAACCCATTTTCTCTACGTGTCTTTTGTATGTTTTCTTTACTGACGTGTCTTCATTATAACTTAACTCTACATTTCCAGAAATACCTTTGACGTTTTCTGAAAATATCTATTAAACCTAGACTTTGTTTTTCATACTTCTTGTAAAGCTTTATGTGGACCGTCCTCTCTAAGAAAATATTTTCAACGAATAAAACCAATTTCTGTTCACTGTTTTTCAGATCTTTTAAGTTTAATGACTTTTCGATAGATCTACTCTCCTCCTGAGATATAGTCGGTTGAATTGAACGTAGAATGTTGTTTACGTTAAACCAAACAAAAAAAAAATATTAAAGGAAAACATCTAGCTTTAGAAGAATTCTTCTTGTTACTTGTTAGTAATGTGTAATCCATTTTTAAAAGGTTTTATGTGATCAATACAAACACTCAAGTCTCGATCAATCAAACATGGTTATTTTCTTAATAAGCTACTTCGCATTAACATATGAAATAATCATCATCAATGGAAATAAAATATTTATTAAAATTTTGAATGATTGAATCAAATGGTAGATTAAATGTTTCTAAACCGTTAAATGAGCTTAGAAACTTGAGACTACACACGCGTAGCTATCGTGATATATTCAATTAATAGATTACCAGAGATATCTTTCATTCTTTTTTAATCATATCATTTCAAGCAGACAATTAGTGCCGTCGGTGAAAAAATAATCATAAAGATGATTTTTGGTATTTAGTTCGTTTTGTTAAACTTTTGGTTTATGATTTGATTTGGTTCAGTTGTTAAAAATATATAAACCAACTTCATTTTAGCTTGCAAAATTTAAAACTTGTATTCGATATTTTTTCATAATCTGTGACAAATATAGGCGCAAAAGAGATAAAATTGAGGAGTACGAGGTTCGTTGGCTATTTCCGCTAAAAAACAAAACTTTCGGCCGTATTTTCATTCATTATTCAATTCTGTCACCGTACTTTATAAAGTTCCACAACCCCCTCCCACAAAAGTTTGGCTTTTTATCAATTATGGAAGGAGAAAGACACGACTCTACGACGTCGCCTAGTCGTAAAAGGAGGCATGAGCCACCTGACGAAAGACCGGCAAGCCACGTGGTAACGACGGCGTTTAAAGAGAAGCCGTATAGAGGAATACGGAAGAGGAAGTGGGGGAAGTGGGTGGCTGAGATACGTGAACCAAACAAAAGATCACGTCTTTGGCTCGGTTCTTACACGACCGCCGTAGCCGCCGCTAGAGCTTACGACACCGCCGTGTTCTACCTCCGTGGTCCCTCTGCTCGGCTCAACTTCCCTGATCTTCTTTTTCAAGAAGCCGATGGACGAACAGCCGCCGCCACCGCCGACATGCCCGCCGCTCTTATACGGGAGAAAGCAGCCGAGGTTGGCGCTAGAGTCGACGCGCTTCTCGCTTTGGCGGAGCCGGCGGCTGACTCCTCTTCACCGCCGGTATTAGTTGAGAAACCCGATTTGAATCAAATACCCGAATCCGGTGACATATAGTCAAACTCTCTACAATAATATAAGCTTCATAATTTGTTTTGTTTAGGTGATTACGTTTACATACACGAGACACATAGACACATGATGATATGGATATGCATACTTCTTAAAAAAAAAAAAAAATTGTTATTCGGGTCCTCTTCCTATTTTAATGTTTAAGCTTCATAATTTTGATATTAATTATAAGGTTGATGTGATCTTTGAATTCAGTATCCCAATATGTATACTTGTTTAGCTTATCTTGAGTAGAGAAACTTCATCCGAAAACTTGTACTTTACATTAAAGAAAATTCTACGTTTGTGTGCTATCAACGTTAATTAATGAAATAAATTAAATTTTATGATTCGCAAATATTCGATGACTTGCCGTTAGGCGTGCAAGATACAGCAATTGCTTCTTTTTTTTTTAACGGGAATAGTCAAAAGTAACAAAAGAAACTTTCATTTGCATAAGAAGAATCACAATTCACAACACAAACGGATACGAGAAAAAAAAAGGAAAAAAAAAAGAGAGGATATGCTCCTCTACGGAAGCTCAAAATGCCATGCTTCGGTTTTTTTCACCGAGTGACCGGAGAACAAATGGCAGTGATAGATGAATTGAGTGCAACAACTTTTTTTTTTTTTTTTGGTTTAACTGTTAAGATTTTATAACTTCCACGGACAATTACAACCTATTCTACAACCCAATATCATAAGGAACAAGAGACAGTCAACTTGTAAAAATTACAAGGGATACAAGATAAAACTGAAGTAAACTTGAAGGAGAGAAGGTGAGGAGAGGTCCGGATCCGAGTACGACAATAGACGGCTCCTCACTGTGCGATCAATGGCAAGGCGGATGGCTTGGGTTGTGAGTGCAACAACTTCTCTGCCTTTTCTAGC